ATTTCTCTTGTAGTAAATATACTATTTACTTAAGTATTTTGGATGTTACTAAATACCGAGTAGGCTAGTAAAAATTTACTTATTTTCACAGCGCTAAATACTTAGCCTTAAAGTATTTAGTTAGTTTCACCTAACGCAACACCGCGTACAAGTTCTTTGGACTAGAGTATTTAGCGCCTTTACTTTAGCATCTAAGAGCTTATAAATGGCAAAGTATTTTTTACTTGTATTTTCCAACTCCTGAGTACCTAATTTTTTTTTATTTGAATATTTAGCAACTCCTTAATGCCTAAGTCTTCTTAACTTGAATTAGACATCTCCAAATATTAAGTAGATACTTGACTATTTAGTACCTAAACTGGTATATTAAATACAAAGGTACTCAGGTATGCCCATCATTGGATACCATGTAATGTATGTGTGTACATTCTTCTTCTTCTTTTCTGGCGCTGTAGCCGCCCAAGCGATTTTGGCCGAGTTCAGCAAAGCACACCAGTCGTTTCTCTTCTGTGCCAACTGACGCCAATTGGAAACGCCAAGTGAAGCCAAGTCCTTCTCCACCTGATCTTTCCATCGCAGTGGGGGCCTCCCTCTTCCTCTGGTACCACCAGCGGGTTCCGAGTTGAATACTTTCAGAGCTGGAGCGTCGGTGTCCATTCGAACGACATGACCAAGCCAGCGCAGCCGCTGTATTTTAATTCGCTGCACTATGTCCATATCGTTGTAAAGCTCATACAGCTCATCGTTCCATCGTCTGCGGTACTCGACGTCGTCAACGCGTAAAGGCCCGTAAATCTTCCGCAAAATCTTTCTCTCAAACACTCCAAGAGCCGCCTCATCGGATGTTGTCATTGTCCATGCTTCTGCGCCATATACCAGCACGGGCATGATGAGTGACTTATAGAGCGTGTGTACATTAGAGCGGGTTGATTTGTAGGGGATCAGAAAAACAGAAAAATCGCATATGCGGAAAATGCTCCACGGATCATTCCGAGCAAACTTTGCTTAAGAAACTATGGGTCTAAAGCCGATTTCGAGCCAGCGAATTTTAAGGGGAACTTTCATATCAGGTAACACAAAATTTTTTAGGAAAAACTTAAACAAATAGCTAATCTGTTAGTTTAAGTGTACAAAAAGTAGTTAATTTTTTTTAAATACATAAATGATCAGAATTGAAAAAGAAATCGATTAAGCGGTGACCGCCTGTCCGTCCGTCCATCCGTCTGTCCGTCTGTGCTCACGATGACCGATTAAAAATTGAGATATTTTAACGAAATTTCGTATGTGTACTTGTTTTTATCGAAGGACGGATGGTATTGAAAATAGGCAAAATCGGACAATAACCCCGCATACCTTCCATATAACGGTAGTTTTCAGAAATACGAAAACTGCGATATTTTAGTAACTATTGAAGTTTATTCACTCAAAATTGATATTTACAATCATTTTTAGATAGAAATTGGGAATATTATAAATTTTTGGAAAATGGACGTAGCCACGCCCACTTATGATCTTATGTGTATATCTTGGTAACCGCTCCACCAATTTCTCCCAAACTTGGCTCAGTTGTTGGTATTGGTACAGCATATCAAACGGTTGAATTTTTTTAAAATCGGACCACACCCACGCCCACATCCCATATAACGGTTATTTAGAGAAATACGAAATCTTCGATAAATCAGTAATACCAAAGCTTCACTACGATCGTAGTAGATGTGCTACGATTTTTTACGAAAATTAGAAATTTACTAGGCTACTCCGCTTTATCCAAGATCTACTTCGGTTTTCTTTCCCAAATAATAAAGAGCACTTATTGCAGTATCTGATTTTTCGCTAAAAAATACTACACTTTTTTTTTAATAGAAGGGATCAAAGAGTGATTGGCTTCCAATTACACTGTACGTATGTAATTTTTTAACTTTTGAAATTTTCTAAAAAGGAGATTTATAAGGCCATTAAATAGTATCCAAATGTTAATTTTTGTTAAGATATTGGTGTCTGATTTTTAATGGTGCTTCATTTGTTCAAGGACTCGCTTATCCGATGAATAATTTTTTTTAACCCCTTCAGGAGTCCTATTTAAAAAAAAATTAACTAACGTTCACCAAAAAAACAAGAGCTTAGAATGTTATATAAAAAATAAGGAACATTCTAACGTTGCTATTCCTTTATATATACTAAATAGTGTAGTGGTAGGGCACGATTCAAGGCTATTGTTATGCATTATTTTATTTTTGTAATTAAAAAAGCCAAATTATGAGGAGCCAATATACGTAAAAAATATTTACTACGGAATTTTATTTTCTGCTACCCTTTTTCACTTCATTTACTCCTGCTTGCCACATAAAAGCAAAACATTGAAAATTATTGAAATCGGATTAAAATTACGCCCTGCCTTACGAATTTTACGATTGTACGTTGCAACAAGTTCACCACCTTGTAACTTAAAACTCTAGAAGAATACCTAGTAAGAATTTATGTTCCGATGTACTTTAACTTGAAATACTACCATTATGTTATATATGGCAGTCCGCTTCTATTCAATGTATATCCGCCTCACGCATTTCTTCCCTCCAAGGAGCGGCAGAAATATGTAACTCATATTTTGCTCATCCAGCAAATGTCATGCTATCAATGCTTTACGATGATCATAAATCAGTACGCGGCCAGGCAAAAAATAAAAAATTGTGTACTACCATGACAACCTTTGCGATACAGAAGAACTTAGAGAGTACAAGAAATGTAAATTTAATTTTAACTGCTCCAATTATTTCAGTATGATAGATTTGGATGATGATTATGTTTTAACGGAACCGCCAATTACTACATTCCGCATATCAATTTAAAGGAATATTTAGAATTTGAAGACCCATCACTTCCTGACCCACAAGTTCCATACCATATACAAGAAACTAAACGATATGCCTAACTGCTAACCAGTGTTTCTCGGCACGTAACGGGGAAAAAAAATCGTGAAAGTTTTATGGCTGTTACTGATGTTAGTCGAAAAAATACCACGCTTGGAAAGCAAGCAGGACTTAAGAACTTAGTTAGTTAAGCATTTAAAAAAATGAATTGCTTTTTGCACGCTTACACTCATAAATCAGCTATTTGTTTAAGTTTTTCCCACAAAATTTTGTATTACCTGATATGAAATGGGAAAGTTGTAGAGCATTTTCCGCATATGCGATTTTATGGGGCGATAAATCGACCCGCTCTAGTGTACATACATACATACATATGTATGTATTAGGGTTGCCAACCGTACTATAACTATGTTTTGGGTCTGCGTACTATATACTGTTGGAAAAAAATATAGTATGCAAAAATACTATATTTCTTCAATTATAAATGTAAATATATTTCAGTCATTTGTAAGAAAGTAATGTTATAAAATGGATGACATTTATACTGAAATATCAATATTAAAATAAATATACTTTAAAACAAAGGGTCTACAGATCAAAAATGGCAAAAAAATTTTAAAAATACTTAGAAAGATTTACCAAATTTACTTAAAATTATTTCGCGTATGCTCTCAATTCCTGTTGCCACTTCGGCATTCACAGAAAAAGTATTTTCTATTAAGATTTTGAAATGGTGAGATGAGAGAAATAAAGCGAATATCTCACTAGTAAAAACTGAACTTTTGATTTATATTAATTTAAATATTGATAGCGATAAAGCATGTGATACTTTCAAAGAAATATATTTTTTTATAAGAAAGAAAAAAGATGTACACTTAAAAAGCATTTTTACTTTTTCTTAAAAAAAAAATACTATATATATTTGAAGTGTACTAAATTTTTTCCGGTTTTTTTGAAAAAGTACTATAAATTTCCTAGAAAATATTGGCAACGCTGGTACATATATGAACCACTAATTATTTTTAAGTCAAATTTGTGCACATTCGATTTACACCTTATCAACAACAACGAATAACTGGTATTTTTTATCGAAAAAATAAAAATCACATAATAACGATTAAAAATGATCGAAAAAGTAAAAATCATAAAACAACGATTAATTTATGATTTTTATTATAAAAATTATAACGGTTACTGTTCCTGCCATAAATACAAACTACTATTTAGTATCATGTTGTACCCGTTTTAATTTTCATTCTCAGGATTCGTGTCAATATTTAAGTTTTTCTGAGAGTAAAAATGTTTGCATTGGTTACCTTTTCGATTTTAGACACTTTTTTATGCAAGTGCACATAAAAACCAAATTTGGGAATTTAATTTTGATCTTGTAAAGAAAATGAAGAGCAAAGTATTCAATATTTTTATACGATGCGAAAGTGTAATGTATACACAAAAAAGGTATTTACATAAACTTACTATAAACAAATATTTACGCTTTTTATTAAGGTGTGTGCCACTATGTATATCCACTACATAGGTTGAGGTAGGAATACAATTACATACATACATATGTATTTTTATCACTGCATACAAACATGCATATTTATTATCAATTTTACGATATAGCAATATTTCAAAATTATTCAAAAATATTTTATGCATAAATAAACTAAACTGATATACACAAAAACATATGTATGTACATGTGTATATTTTATAGATATCTAGTTGATAACACATTTTTTCCGAGAGAATCTTTTTATCAGCTATGACTGTGTATGACAAAATATAATTTATTTCACAGTAAACTATATAGACGTATGTACATATACAAATATATATTTATCCTAATACTCCATCTTACAGGAATTTATACAATTTTTTTAACAAAGTTTTACTGATTTAACCATATATTTGTAGGTGTTATTTGCATTGATTTCAATTTAATATTATATTTATGTACATATGTATGTATGTATTTTGCGCTTTATTCTCATTTCTTAAAATATTGCCCAATATTACAGTTATACAATATGCATTCAACAACAAGCTAACAGCAAAACAAAGATTATTGTCTCTCGGCAACCGTAGCACATAAATATTTAGTTTCCATGATTTGAATTAAATTTTCAGGAACACATACGCCAATCGAAGGAGAGCAAGCTGGATGAATTGGGCCGCAGTTCAAAAGCACGCTCAAGGGAGAACTTACACAGCACAATGCCGAGGTAAGTGAAGCAAGTGGTGAGGGCGTATTTTACAAAAGCAATTTGTGTAGTGCAACAACTTTTATTAACTTGTGAATGCACAACAAGTGCGTGCGTGCGTGCGTGCGTGTATGTGTGTTTGTTTGCCCCTGTGTCTAACTGTCAATTCCAATTTTACTCCACTTCACAGGCCCAAGCCTTCGCAGACATCCTTGCAAATTCTTGACGACACAACGAATCGCTATTATCGCGAAGTGGTGCCCATGTCGCACATTCATACAAAACCTGACCTCAAGGATCGTGAACACAGCATTCTCAGGCATCGCAATGACATGGTCGTACAGACGAGCTTCTGCGGTGATGACGGCGGCGATGAGAATAGCTCCGAAAGGACAGTGGAAGCGCAAGTGGCAGCAGCAGCGGCGGCGGCGGCGGCGGCAAATGCCTGTGATATGGGCTGTCAAACGCGGTAAAATAACAACACAAACACGTACATATACATATATCCATATCTACTCGTACAATTTGGAAAGACAAACAACAAACAACAAACGTACATCATCTGTACATATTCATAAGCGTAGTCGTATCAGCATATTTGCATATTTGCACACTTGTCCCCAATGTTTGTTCAGCAATCAATGAGTATCCCATGTCCCATGTCTTTGCTTACAGTGAATCGCTTTTTGCCACACCATTGATGCACCAAAGCTCTATGAGCTCAGTGAACAAGGACAGGGCCAGCCTTCATTCACGCTCACGTTTTTCTACATTTGGTTATGATGGTGCTCAATCGACACCACCACCAACGCTTCCAGCTGGTGGACGCGACGGCAACCAACTTACAGGACTCAATATACGCGATGC